TTTTTTTTTTTTTCAAAGAAATGTCTAGCTCTGAGGCCAAACGTGTCATAGAGTTCAAAAATCCTGAAATGGAGGGAGGCCCTTACAAGTTCACTGTTAACCAGTAGCAACAGAAGACAGTAATAGTCCATTTTTGAAGCCAGCTTAACACGAAAAAAAAGAAAGGCCATGCACTTAGCCCCAACTCATTCCAGACATCCTCAGTGACATCCAAAATCGCTGTCCCCATGGCCACAGTTCATGACAATGAAAAGAGGCAGCATTGCTGGATGCAACACATTCCTTAGCAGGCAGCTCTCTGGAAAGAGAAGACGACCCCCAAAGCAGTGGCTGCCCACCTTCATCTCAACCCTCAAAATGAGTCTGCGTGACTGTGTAGGGCCTCTCCTTTCTCTCCAGATGTTGGGCAATTTGAGTCTGACCTAAGAGAACTGAAACTAAAGACTGTACTTGCAACATGTCTTCCCCAAGAGTATTCTGATAATCCAGCCGCATAGAAGGACTTATATCTGAGGCTCTCCTGGCACGGATATGAATGACAATCCACCGTGTGAAGCTGCCTTCACACACTCAGTGAATAGGTAAGTGTTGATTTTGGCAGCTGTGTCTTCTAGAATGTTCTCAAAAGGGAAGAAGGGCTGTGATTTTTTACCTATTTTATACTACTTATTAATGTTTAAGAAAGATTTCAGAATTTGCAGGGTTAGGTAGAAAAGTCTAACCCATGTGTTTTAAATTATGTGGATCAAAATTCACTTAAGTAGGCCTTTCAGAGACTGAAATCTATCATAAAAAATAAAATAAAATAAATTAAAATTTATTTTTAAAAAATAAATTTTTTTTGACCTTTAGAATATCCAATCCAGTCAGTTCATCTTTTAAGGCAATGTGCAATCTTTGCTAAGATCTTAGAAGACATAAATCTCTCCGAGCTGGGACCCTCTTATAATCTACTAAGTAGTTGGAAGATTGTGGGGTCCCTTACCCCTTCAACTTTGCCATCTATAATCTCTAAAGGACAGAATTTTGGTTTAGGCCACAATGGCTGGCTATAGATCCAGGTCTTCTGGTACCCCAGGAAGAAAACAATGGTCTCCTCCAGAATTTGGGATTTCATTATCTCACTCCATGGGCATGTAGAAAACAGGAGCAGACCTTCAGAATTACCGTCCTCTCTCCTGGGTTCCCATCTCTGCCCCTACTGTGAAGCTCTAACTACCTCAGCCCAAATGTGGCCAAAAGCTGGTTAGTTAAATAAAAAAGAGAAACTCTTGTTTGCCCTCTTATATACCAGGAA